TTTCACTCAAATAATGTTCTGAAATTAAAGTAAAACTAGTTTTATCTTCTTAATGCAGTCTGGTACTTTTTACTCATTTAGCTCTGTAAAGCCTGACATAGGAAAAATGTATATATATATATATATATATATATATATATATATATATATATATATATATCGTGTTAAAGTGATTGTGGCGAACTTAGTTGTTGATTTCCAACATGCTTTTAATCATTTACTCACTTTCATGTGAATTCTAAACCTGTATGCTGTTATTTTTCCATTGCAGCACAACATCATTTTAGTTCTTATGCATAAGTCAACGTCCAGCAGGCTTTTGAGGAATGTTTATCTCTCGATCGTCCATTGTATTGCATTACATTGTTTTAAAACTACAGAGCTTTTTATAATACAACTAAGCATTTAATATTATGTCAATGTTATGTAATAATTAACATTATATCATCTATGCAATAAAATGCCTGTTAGGCATCATAAAACTAGTCCACATTGACTCATGCTGTATATTTCGTGTCTTCTGAAGTCATGCAATGGCTTTTTAACGCATGTGGTCACGATGAAGTGTCATGTGAATAAGAGTTGCGTAAAGATACGTCAGAATTTCTCCTTTTGTGTTTCACAGAAGCCACAGTTGCCTCGGTCTGGTTGTATTTTGGATGCTTGTCCTCTGTGTGTTCACAGAAAGGCCATGCAAGGTTTGGCCGGGGCCCCGGGGCCGAGCGACTGGCTCTAATGCCGTTAATCTGGAACTGAGCCACAACTGTGTCATAAACTCATATCACCCTCAGTGCAAAGTACTGAATGTTAAGAGCAAGCTCTACTGCATTTCATTCACCACTGTTGAAGTTCTCGAGGGAGGTCGAGAAGATGTGATTAATTTGGTGCTGCTTTGAGATTTGTTCTCACTATAAAAGTGTTTAATTAAATTGCCACTACATCTCAGAGAAGCCAAGCTGAAGTCAGTCGTTCAGTAGCTGTCAGCGGGAATAAGTAGCCATTGCACTTTTGTTACTGTGGGTTTTGTTTTCCTTAAAGGAACAGTTCACCCAACATAACAATTTACTCTCCCTGAGGCCATCCAAGATTAGGATGAGTTTGTTTCTTCATCAGATTTGGAGAAATGTAGCATTGAATCAGTGTCTCAGCAATGGATGCTCTGCAGTGAATGGGTGCCGTCAGAATGAGAGTCCAAACAGCTGATAAAAACATCACAAGTTATCCACACCACTCCAGTTCATCAGTTAATGTCTTGTGAAGCCAAAAGCTGCATGTTTGTAAGAAGCAAATCCATCAAGACGTTTTAACTTTAAACTGTAACTCTATCCATAATAATGTTTCCTCCAGTGAAAAAGTCCATCTCCTGTTTTCCTCTTACATTAAAATCCAGCCACATATTTGTTTAGAGCTGTTTTGTCTTGTAAATAGTGCTTGATCTGTGCAAATTTCTCTCCTGATTCAGATGAGATGACTTTTTCACTGGAGTAAGCGTTATTATGGACTTGTATTTTAGCTGGAGGTAGGGCTGCACGATAAATATCGCACAATATTTAATGCGCATCTCGTCAGTAAAGCCGGTTCTGTAATCAGCGGTAAATCTCTACACGTGCGTGCTTTCACGTGGAGCAGCATTAACTACACAGAGCCGTTGTTCACTGACAAGCTGCGCAAAACCACGATCATATTTTGCGCATGTTTTGCGAAGCTTGTCAGTGAACAACAGCTCTGTGTAGTTAATGCTGCGCCACGTTAAAGCACGCACCGGCTTTACTGACGAGATGCGCATTAAATATTGTGCGATATTTATCGTGCAGCCCTAGCTGGAGGCAACAGTTTGATGTTAAAAATGTCTTAATGATGGATTTGTTTATTTTGTCTTCTCCAGACATTAACTGATGGACGGGAGTGGTGTGTATTATTAGGGCCTTTCGCACCGCTTTAGTTCCAGAACTAAATGTACGGTACTAAAGTACTGGGACGATTTTGCGCAAACTATTTCCCAGTACCATTTAAAGGGTTGCATTCGCACCGAGAGTGTGTACTAATAAGTGACATAAGCCGGTCGACAGCGTCGTCATTTGTGCACGGTGTTCAACAACAGAAACGAAGAAGAACAACGTTAACAACAGGAGGATGGAGGACGCTGTGATCGGAGCTGTGTGTGTTTGTTGTGTCTCGCGGGTTTCACAATAATGGACATGGAAAGTCGACGTATACGTAAAGCGATTGAAAGAACGGAATCGAGGACTAAGAATCTCCAACGACAGCCGGCAGTGCTACATTTGCTACAAGTGCCTGCACTTCAGCGTCCGTCCATCTATCGCTGTTCTCCATACTTGCGAAATAAGTTGACACAATGTTTACAATATGTTTACACAGCGTTTTAAATCATGGCGGGTGAAGGCATTCTCGTACACGTTTGGCCAATCAATGTCCACTTGCGTCACGATTAGTACCAGTTGTGCTGGTTAGACCCTGCTCTAGAGTAGGAGCTAATTTGGTTCTCGAAAAAGGCAGTCCGGTACTAAAATCGCACCCAGTTCCGGAGGTGCGAAAACGCCAAAAAGCGGGTAGTACCACAATTAGTTCTGGTACTATGAAAAGGTTCCCGTGGTGCGAAAGGCTCTATTGTGACGTCTTTATCAGCTGTTTGGACTCTCATTCTGACGGCACCCATTCTTTTTTTTGACTCTTTTGTATTTAGATTGGCTCTTTGTCATCAAATGGTCAAAGACTGCTGTATAGCATCTGTCCTGGCACCAGACGGTGAGCACATCGCTCAGTGCACAATGCCAGCCAGCTGTGCCAGAGCGAGGAAACAGATTGATCCAATATTGTCTCTGAGCCCCACAATCCCGCGTTGGACTTGTCCTGGCACTGAGTCCTCTATACAGCACGGCCAAGACAGAGGAGACTTGTTCACGAACAGTTCTATCTCTTGAGGGAGGGCAGATATTAGTCCTGATCGTGTCTTTGTGCTCGTCGCAAAACTGTTGACTGAATGTAGTATTTTATCCGAACTCTGTTCTTCAGTGTTGACAGAACTCATATAAAATTGATCTGTCATCAACAGTGTTGGACAGTAATTATAAAGATATATAGAAATGCTGCTTAACATTTTTTTTTGTTAAAAAATAGGGTCCATCACAGTGAATTCACACTGTTTAATACTGTTTTCAGTGCAGTGATTTCCGATACATAAAAAGTTGGGAGTCAAGATTTTTGAAATATTTAAAATATTTAGATTTTTGTTTTTTTATATTCTGTTGTGTTCATAAAGGCTGCATTTATTTGATCAAAAATACAGTAAAAATAGTAATATTGTGAAATTCATTCCTAATTTAAAATAGAAGTTATCTATGTGAATATATAGTAAAATGTAATTTATTCCTGTGATGTAAAGCTGAATTTTCAGCATCATTCCTCCAATCTTCAGTGTCACATGATCTTCAGAAATCATTCTAATATGCTGATTTGCTGCTCAAGAAACATTTCTGATTATCAATGTTGAAAACTAGAGCTGTGCGATATTGAAGAAAAATGCAATATGCAATAACTCATTAAATAATGCGATATTTGATATGCGATATGATAATGCTTAAAGTGCCACATGCTCAGATGAAACGGTTTTACTCAGCTGTTGCCGAGTCAGTTCTGTGAACTTTTATAACTATCTTGTGTCATATATATATGGTTATTTGTATGTATGTACCAAGAGTTCCTGTAAAACCACAACAGATTCCTTGTGTTTGCGCACACTTAAGTGGTGAATAAAGATTCTAATAAGAAAGCACCCCTACAACAACTTCTGAAAGTGAACGGTAGTGTTTTACTCGAGCATTACATAAAAATGTAATTTTAACATGAGTTTAGGAACTGAATAATAAAAAGGAAAAATAAAACGCTGCTTAGAATTTACTCTTTGATTTCAAAATGCACTGATTCTTATTTAAGCTACAAAAGTTATTTAGGTAAGAGCAGTGAGTGATTTTCTCTGTCTTTTGTTCATGGCCCCAAATATTGCAAGCTGTAGCGATATGCATATTACGATATGAACATTTGCGATAATTTCGATATATTGCACAGCCCTATTGAAAACAGTTGTGCTGCTGAATATTTTTGTGAAAACTGTAATATTCTTTTTGCAAGATTTACTTTAATAGATATAAATTTCAAAAGAACAGCATTTATTTGAAATAGAAATCTTTTGTAACGTTATAAATGTCTTTACTGACACTCAATTTAATGCATCTTTGCTGCAAAAAAAAACATTATTTTCATATATATATAAATTGCCAGGAAAAAAAATTCTATATATAATTTAAAATAATCAAAAGTTTTATGCAGATAGGTTCTTTTTATGCTTCAGTAAAGTGAAGTTATGTATATTATCTATTTTTACAGTGGCGTCAGATATGGTTCATCCAACCATATTTGTGATGTTTTTGTTTTTTTTGTGTGCACTCATGTCAGACTTACCATTACATTTTTACTAATAATCTGATTCAGATTGTTTTTAAGCATTTTAAACCACTAGATTATCAAACTTTGGCTATGTCTACATAATTTCATAATATAACACGTATATAATTTCCAGCAGAAATAACCGTATGGTGATATAAAATGACTCATATGGTGGAATAGATTTTGGTCTTACCGCCTACTAGCTTGTACGCTTCCAAAGCAGGTTCTCCTACACTGTTCAGCAGGCTAATAATACACCAGTGAGCGTTATCATCGGGCTTCATGACACACCGTACCAAACCCAGAGTCTCGTCAGCAGATTTCAGCCCATGTTTTATGGGCGACACATTCCTGATGCAGTCTGCCATCAGTCGGCATGAGAGGAATGCTGTGCAGATTTGAGCATGTAAATGCCTGGCTTTGTCTCATCTCTTCCTGTGGCTCCCAAGCAGGGGCTGCTGGGAAAAGACGTGTGAAGAGACTTTGTATTGGAGTTGTGGGAACGTTCTTACAGTCCATCTTCCTGTGTTTTTCAGTCTCCACGTGTACGGCGGTCTGTAAGAAGAATCCTCCGCCTATTCCTCCTCGCACCACCTCCAAACCCTACATCTCGGTGACGGTCCAGAGCAGCACTGAATCGGCCCAGGACACGTACCTGGATAGCCAGGACCAGCGCAGCGAGGTCAACAGCCAATCAGGACGCAGCAACTCCTCCGACAGCATCGCCAGCTCTAGGACAGGAAGTCTGGTCAAGGCCAAGCGGCCGCCCATCCTGCCCCCCATCCCCGCCCCGCGGGAACCCGTGCCCCTGCCCAGCGCGAGAGTGACCACGCCTCCTCCCGCCGTCGTTCCGCCCTCTCCCGCCCCGTACGCTAAAAACGAGCCCGCAAGCCTCACTGTGGCATCTGGCGAACTGCAAGCCCTGCCCAAGAGAAAACTCTCGTCCATTGGCATTCAGGTTTGTACGGGAATATTAATGATGTCGTCATGATGTTTTTATGCTATTGGATGACGTATTCACTAGGGATGCACCGATACTGGTATCGGTATCGGGCCCGATACTGAGCTCATGTACTCGTACTCGTACTCGTTAAAATGCCCCGATACCAAACGCCGATACCACACAGCATGTGATAAGCGCCATATTCAAACAAAGAAACACCGACAACAGACAGCAGAAAGGAGTTAAGGATGTCTACTACGAAGTATATGTATGCAATGAATATAATGTTAAACATTCAGTATTAACGCCTGTATAGCTGATGTGTGCGATCTGATAAACAAAGCGTGCTGAGTGGATTGAGCGCGCGGCAGCGCAGATGTGCGAGCTTGTCGAGTGAATATCCCTTTCTCACAGACATCACTGGAAAGTTTGTAGTTCGGTCGGATACGTCAAAAACAAGTAAGTAAAACAATGCACAAGTTACTTAACGGTAGGGAGAGAGAGAGTGTACAAATGCAATAAAATTATCGGTACTCGGTATCGGCAAGTACCAAAAATAAAAGTATCGGTATCGTGCGAGTACTGGAAAAAGTGGTATCGGTGCATCCCTAGTATTCACTATCAGGTCATGTGACTTCACTCCCATTGGTAGTCGCTGCTCATTTGCATGAGTTTTAACTCCGCTTTGTTGCTTCGCCAGTAGTTGCTCATTTGGAGTCAAAGCGACTTCTGGTTGAGTTGTTGCAAATCATCAGTGTGAACGCATTGTTTGAAATAAGCTTTTTTTTGTTACTGTGCGTTTAAGACTTCGTTTTTTTTATAGTAAATTTAATATAGGTTTTCACAATTTATTATTGTAATTTGATTACAGTAAAACTAAAAGAAATGGCCAATTTACTTGATTAAATAAATATATTCAATAAATCATTAATTGGTTAATAAACACAAACCATTTAATTAATCATTGATAAATGTCTGTTGTATTTTATTTTAGCATTAGTCAGTCTTTGGATTGATAATGATAGAAGCAGAAAAAAGTGAATGCTAAAATAAAGTGCAATGGTTATGTAGTCATTTGTTTGGTGTTTAAAAAAAATAAAAATAATATATATATATATATATAAACAATGACTGTATAATAACATTTTATTGGTAGTGTAAAATTATATAATGTACAATTTAAAAAATATATTTTGAATTATATTAATATATAGCATCATATATTATTATTTATAATATAATGTTATTAATAAATAATTTAATAGAAAATCATTAAGTCATGCTTAGGAAACTGTTACTAGTATATTTATGCAATTCTTTTAGTTTTTTTTATGAAATAATGTTTTATAAAGTAGTTGATATTGTCTGTTGTTTTGTTGTGTAGAAATCATCTTGATCTTATATGTGCAGTTCATTCATACTGTCATTCAGGCTAATTTGTTAAAATATGTAAATGTGGGAGGTCATATGTTAATGATCTCATGAATGTGACGTACCTTATTTATTATGTATTTTAGTGTCGTTAAATGCTCTGGGTGAACTAGGGAGGGAGTTTTGAGTTGTAGCATAGCTATTTGTAATAATAGAATTATTGGATCCTTTTTCGATGAATTATTTCTCTTGTGGCAGGTGGATTGTGTGCAGCCGATTCTGAAAGAGGAACAAACTCCCACCACCAGGTTCCAGTCCATCGGGGTTCAGGTTGAAGACGGCAGGCCGTGAGTTTCCTCTACACCTTTTGCATCCTTAAGATAAGAAAAGTTGCACTTCCATTTAGCACTTTGGAATTTGATGCACATGTTGACGGCAGCACTTCTCACAAGAGCGCGGTCTGATTGCCGTGTGTGAGTGCCGCTGACTCTCTCGCTCTCTCTCTCTCTCACACACACTTACACACACAGAGTGTCTCAGCCATGTATGGAGCTGAAAACACTCCCAAATAATGATTAAGTGCAGACGGCAGGAGATAATGAGATTCTGTGCACATCTCCCACTCGCTTTGTTTCCTGGCGCTCTCCGTTGCAGTCTATTTTCATATCTTTCCATCGCTCTCATTTACATGTCTCTCTTTAAGTTTGCTGTCTCCCACACACCAGCTGTCTGTCTTTCTCCCGGCCTGCATTCCCAGTCTCTGCTCCTCCTGTTCACTTTTTATTTTCTAAGACAGACCAATGAAATGGAGAATATCTAACAATATCTATAACAATATCTAATGTAAACTAGGGAGTTTTTATTGATATTTGTTAAATTGATATTTATAAATCTATTAAAATTTTTGAATTAGTTTTTTTTTTGTAAGCGATTATATAATAACAAAAATAAATAACCGTTTTAAAACTTTTTTTTTTATTCATGATATTTTACAATATAACATTTTAATAAATATATATTTATAAGAATGTCTTTTTAGTTATATAAAAAATATTAATAATTGTTTAATGGTAAATTTTAATATTTACACTTTAATTAATTTTGTGATATGTTTTTTCTAAAATGATGTACAAAACTGAATAAATTAACAATATGAATGATAAAAAGCTATTTATTGATGATGATGATGAAACATATATATATATATATATAAAATAATGTAGAATTCTGAATATTTTATTAGCATTTTTGAATTATAATGTTTAATGAAGTGCATTGTAATTTTGCCATGTTTATAAGAACATAGCAACATGTCAATGCATTTCATTAAATATTGCAATTAATAATAAATATTTAATTTTAGTTTTAAAATAAAAATGTTTTTTTCTCTTGATGTACAAAACTGAATAAATTTAAATGAAAATAAGAAATTATAAGAAAATTTAATTATATTAAATAAAAATTGTATAATATTGTATAATTCTAAATTTTTAATTATAATATTTAAAGAAATGCGTAATCACAATGTCATGTTTATAAGAATAATTAATTTTTTTTATTAATTTTGATATTTAGGATTTTATAATTCATAGTGTTATTTTGTGATTTAAAAAAAAAGAAAATTTATAAATGCTGTTTGTTGCTCTTGATGTACAAAATGTTATATATTTATACATAAATTGATAAAAAATATCATATTCATCATATTAAAAAATTAAACGCATTGTAGAATTCTAAATATTTCAATTTTATTTTTAAATTATATTATCTTTCTAAACAATTATTTTATTTATATAAATTATAATATTTAAAGAAATTCATAATCATGGTGCCATGTTTATTAAAAAATTATAGTATTGTAAAACATTTAGTGATTTAATTAAAATATTTCTGACAAAATGTATGCTGTTTTAGAAGTAGTACCATTATGCTGTGAAGTCATTTAAACAAGGATGAACAAATTGTTCCTTGGCTTGATCATAAGTGTTTTTTTGTTGTTGTTGTTGTTGTTGTTGTTGTTCGTGTAGTTTGAAAGAGTCTTCCAGGGGCCTGTACCATGATGGTGGCTGAACAAACTCAGGGTTACTGGATTAGTTTTGAGTTGACAAAACCAAACCAGTCCAATCCGGCTTTGTTGGTGCCATGAAGCTGATCATCAACTTTCTCTGTCAACTCAGGCTTGATCCTGAGTTAATGGCGCATGTGCACATGAAAGAGTGCCATCTGTAATGAACAGCCAATCACATGCCTTGAAACTGTGATTCACTTCTCGTGAGAGAGTCAGTGCGATTCACTACCAAAGATTAAAATATTGAACAATATATGAAGAATTTAAACACATTTACAAGATGAAACGATCTATACATGAAAGAGGAAAACTTAAAGAAAACATCTTGCCATATAAGTGCAAGTAAAAGTTGTAAAGTTAGTTTATAGAGTTGATCATATTTATTGCGTCAGACTCAGAGATGTGTCACTTTGCTTGAAGCTGATTGGTCAAATTTCAGTTTGAGATCTCTAAACCAGAACATAACCTGCCCCAGAGCAGGTTAGCTGTGGAGTGTAAGTTACTAAGGCAATGAATGCCGCTAAAAGCCAAGCCACTTTCATGGTACCTAAAACCCAGGATTAGTGCAAACTAAACTGAAACTTACCTGGCTAGCCAGCTAATCTGGCTTCATGGTACAGGCCCCAGCTGATTGATTTTAGCATAATGGATTCATAAGCTAATCGAAGTGTGTAGTTTGAGTGTGGCTCAGTGTCTCTTCTCTCTGTGTGTCCAGACTCAGTCGCTTCACTAGCATGGCGTCTAGACAGGAGACGACGGAGGCCGAATCCCAGGAGCAGTCCGACGGTAAACCTTTGGAGAACAAGACGCCCAACCAGTCTCTGGACGGCATCAGCGTTCACAAACCCCCCCGCGCGGATGTGATGCGCGCCGCTTCCGCCTCGCTGCAGGAGAAGCTGGATCCGGCGCTGGACCCCTCCTGCCTCCCACCACCCGACCCGTCTCTGCAGGCTGGGAGCGGCAGCGTGAACGGGGCTGTGGAGCAGCCTGGGGGCCCGGCGTGCCTCAGGGACGGACGCTGGTTCCAGAAGCTTTTGCAGGCCGAGACGGACCGCATGGAGGCCTGGTGTCAGCAGATGGACCAGGAGACCAAAGACAAACAGCTGTCAGAGGACGGTGAGACACTCGCATACAAATAAATCACCATTGCTGCGTCTCAATGTGCCTACTTATACTACGCCCTTAAAGTATGTACTCTTTTGGTGAAGTAGTAGTACACACTTTTGAGTGTGTAGTAAAAGAGTAGGCAAGCTTTGGGACATACTGTCACGTCACAAAACTTTAACGGACGCTCTGTCTGTCACATAATTACACGCATCATGTCACTGTAAACTGGCCTGTCAATCATCGTCACAGTTTTCACATTGCATTTCATTTAACTTCCTACCGTACTGGAGAGAAAAGAAGTAGCTCGTTGATCTGCCAGTCGGCGGGTCTTTCATGCCAAGAACTCTGCTCATATTTTATGCTAGTATAAAATTAGATGACGTAGTTAACATGGTTAACGAGCAAACGGATGTTTATAAAAGTTTACATTGCTGTTGCAGATGAAATATAGCACTGATAACATTAAATAAATAATTTTTACCAGGTTAAATGTTGAATATTAGTAACTCGAACCCCTTTTTCTAAGCCTCTCTACCTAACCAACGGTCGTGCACATCCGCCATGTTTGTAGTTTTTAACGAGTTTTATTCGTGTTTGTAGTTCTGGACAGAATCTTTCACCAAAGCGCAATGGATTGTGGGCAATATTAGCCATCAGAGTGTGCATGGATCCACACTACAAAAATCAACCTGAAATAGTAGACCATGCGGGGACTTTTGGCATGCTCTTTTAAATATACTATGCTTTGGGACACACTTATTCTAATCTCACATACGATTTAGGATGGATAGTATGAAGATTGAGACGCAGGGCATGAGTTTCACTGTCCAGTCTATTCCTGATGGATACAATCAGTTCATTTCAATTGAATTATGTAGTGTGTTATTAATTCCAGGTTAATTATTCAAATAATTGTGTAATTTCATTAAGTTAGTCCGGTGATCTAAAGATCCAAAACAAACATGAAGCCAGCAAAAATAAAAATCCACACACGGTTATATGCAGGGCTTACACCTCCTCAAAAAAAATCTCCTCCTACATTGTTTTTTGTAATGTATGTATTAGGTGTGTAACGGTCCACGTATTCGTACCGAACCGTTTCGGTACGGGTCTTTCGGTTCGTTACGCGTGTGTACCGCATGAATACAGGAAATTCAAATAATAAATAGCGTTTGACCGTCTTTTATGTGGCACGACAGATCGCTGTATAGACGCCTTAGAGAGCCGCTTCTGGGACGGTTCAGAAACGTGCTGGTATAATCCCAACACAAGCACTGACTAGAGCGGCCGCGATCAGCTCCGGTTCCCGTGTCTGAGCCGTGACGCCCCGCAGATTTGTGCAGAGCGGAGCGCGAGTGAACTCGATCATTCCCTCCTCTGTACTACTAGTTTTAACACGAATAAACATGACTGAACATCTCATGCCTCATGTAATTGCTCAATCAGTGTTTCAACCGCGGAAAGACATCAACAATACAGCGTGGAAATAAAACACAGCTCGTTAGTTCACTAGAGAAATGAAGTCTAGAGAGGAGCATTTTGCGAAATATTACACCATATAATCATCATATTTTACTAAACCTGTTAGTCTTAATTACTTAATGTACAGTATGTTTAAATTAATCTGTTATGAAACATGCTATATTTTAACAAATAACTTAGAAATTTTATTATTTATAAGTTAATTTAAAAACTGCATTATGTGCAATTTACATGTTTGCATACATTTTTGAGTGTTGATCATCTATTTAAAAATAAATAGCAATTAAATTTAAGTTTGGGTTAAGTTGTTATGCCTACTTGTAACCTTATAATGTAAAAGGACTCCCTATAGTTTTAAGCATAAGCTAAGATTTTTATCACTAAGAAAATTTAAACTATAACTGAATGTATTTAAAGAAAGAGCAACTTGTTCAGTAAACCA